GCACCCATGTGCAGACCCAGAAAGAGCCCCTGGCTCCTGGCTTCGGGTAGGCTCACCTCTGGCTGCTGCAGCCATCTGCAGAGTGAACCAGCATGTGGAAGATTCTCTCTCTCTCGATCTCCCTCTCTCCTTCCCTCCCTATTCCTCTACCTCTACCTCTGCCTCTCTGCAGCTCTGTTTTTTAAATAAATAAATAAATCTTAAAAAAATCCCACAGTACTGGGCAAGAAAAAAATTAAAGGCATACAATTAAGCAAGGAGGAAAAACTGATCCTTGCCTGCATATAACATTACAGAAAAAACTAAAGACTCCATCAAGAGACTTAGATTTGATAAGCAAATCCGATAACATTTTAAAAACAAAAGGAACAACAATTAGTAACAATTTATGCACTAATCACAAAGTTAATGAAAAAGAAACAGTAAGAGCAACACCATTCACAGTAGGTACAAAAAAAGGAAGACACTTGGAATAAATTTAACCTAGGGTATAAAATTCCCATCAAGCTACCAATCACATCTTTCCTTAGAATTTAGGAAAACTATCCCAACGTTCAAATGGAAGCACAAATGAGCTCAACATAAAAGCATTTTCAAAAAATGCAAAAGCTGGGGTCTTCCCACTACCAGGGTTCAAAACATGTTATAGAGCTATTTTAACCACTACAGTAAGGTACTGGCATGAAAACAGTCATAAAAAAGAATGGAGCAGACTGGGTTTGCCACAGAGTAATCCACACATCTACAGCCAACTGATAGTTGACAGAGATTCCATAAACATGCCCTGGAGGAAAGACAGTCTCTTCAATAAATGCTGCACAAGACTTTCCATGGATGCCTCCACTTATACTGTACATAAAATAACTCAACATGCATCACAGATCTAAATGTAAGACCTAAAACTACCAGGAAGCAGCACAGGAGACACCTTTCATGACACTGGCATAGGAAATGATTTTTTAGATAATATCCTAGAAGCACAGGCAACAAAAGCAAACATGACAGATGTGATTATATAAACCAAAGAAATTTCTGAGCACCAAAATAAAAAGGCAGCCAAACGAAGAGACAACTGTTAGAATGGGATTAATATATTCATAAAGTATGTCCCTGAAAGAGGAAGAAAATTGAGGATATGCAAGTAATTTTTAAAACTCAAAAACAACAACCCATTTAAGAAATAGTCAGCAGTCACAACAGACATTTCTCAGAAGAAGAAATTCAAATAACCAACCGACAATATGAAAAACAGTTTAGTTTCACTAACCATCAAGGGAATGAAAAGGAAAGTCACAATGAGGACTCATCCCATTCCGATTAGGATGTTTCTTGTCAAAAATACCACATTCTGAAAAGAATATGGAGAAAAGGAAACCCTTATACACTGTTGGTACAATATACATTAGAACAGCCACTACTGAGAACAGCATGAAGGCTGCTTAAAAATTATAACTACCTTATGATCCAGCTATCCCACTTCTCAGTGTATTTCTAAAGGGAATCAAATAATCACTTTCATTGCAGCACCATTCATAATAGCTAAGCTATGGAATTAACCCAGGTGTCCATCAGTGGAAGAATGGAGGGGAAAAATGTGATACACACACACACACACACACACACACCACACAGGTATACACAAAATACAGTATCGTTTACCCATGATAAAGAATGAAACACTCCCATTTGCAGCAAAATGATTGGAACTCAAGATCATCATGTTAAATGAAAACTAATATAATGTTAAATAAACCAGACATAGAAAGATCCCTATGACATTTCTTTGATAAAGTTTGATAAAGTTTAAAAAATTGCCCATGTGAACTCTGAACAGGGATTAGCACAATTTGGGAGCCATGGGCATAGGTTGAATAACAGATACCAAAACCCAGTCAGACAAAAGAAGTAAGTTGTAGTGCTCTGCAGTGCACTAGTACCTCTGAAGTTCAAGACAATCAATTATTTACTGTAGAAAGAGCCAGAGTAAAGGAGCTAGCAGGGTCCAAGTGCAAAGAAATAATATGAAATGGAAATGGTAGCTACCTGGTTTGATCAGTTTATGCTGTGCACATGTATTGACATATTAGACTGGACCCCATAAACACACACTAGCATTGCAAAATTTTTTTAAAATAAATAATTTAAGAAAAAAATAACAAATATTTAAGAAATAATTTTTTAAAAATCTGAAAAGTGTGGTATTCAATGAAGGAAGAAATGAAAATCATCCATAACTGCCCTCCAAAGTTAAGAACTGACAATAAAACTGTATATATGTGAATATACATGTCTATGTGTGCATGAAATGCTCCATAACAAAAGTAACCTACAAAATGAGTTAGAAACTATGGTGATAGTCACTAAACTTTTAAAATATCAACGTAGCCTATGGTGCGGTTTCACATGTGTGTAAAATAAAGACATGCAGGGCCGTTAAACACAAGAACTTCAGGAAAGCAGTACACTCAAATACAAAAAGGAGGGAAGGGAATTATGTCTTTAGCTGTACCTGTAATGTCTCCTTCCTTTACAAAATACTGTCTGAAACAGTTTGGCAAAAGGCTAATTCTGTTAAACGTAGGTGGTGAGTATATGGGTATCTTTATACTTGATTTATTTTATAATGGCTTTATTTTCCTACATTTTTAAAATACTTCATACTGAAAACTAAAATAGGAATAAAAACCATTCATTTAGCAGGTAGCTTCAGAACAATTAACAGGCAATAAGACAATATGTAAACATTACATTTTGCATTTTGTGACAATAAAACCTATCTTTATACTGAATTTTTAAATTTTTAACTATGTATTTTTATTTATTTAAAATGCACAGTGACTTGGGGCTGGTGTTCTGGCATAGCAGGTGAAGCTGATGCCTGCAACACTGGCATCCCATGTGTGTGCTGGTTCAAGACCCTGGCTGCTCCACTTCTGCTCCAGCTCCTGAGAAAGCAGCAGAGGATGGCCCAAGTGCTTAGACCCCTGCTACATGGAAGATCAAGAAGAAGCTCCTGACTCCTGACTTTGGCCTGGCCCAGCCCCAGCCATTGCAACCATTTGGAGAGTCTCTTCCTCTCTCTGTGTAACTCTGACTTTCAAATAAATAGATAAATCTAAAAAAAAAAGACAGCATGACACAGAGAGAGAGCAACAAACATAGATCTTCCGTCCACTGGTTCATTCCCCAAATGCCCACCACAGCCAGTGTTGGGCCAGACCAAAAGCAGAAGCCTAGAATTCCATTCAGGTGTCTCTCATGGGTTTCAAGGACCCAAGTGCTTGAGCTGCCATCAGCCACCTACATAGGTGTATCAGCAGGAAACTAGAGGAGAAGTGACACAACCAGAGCTCAACCTGCACTCTAATATGGGATGCTTAACTCACCATGCCCACTGTGCAACCCCCCTCCCAATTTGACATTTTAAATGTTGAAAACACAAGAAAACACTTGGAGAACCTCATAGGCAGCATCTAGAAAATACAACTAGCACAATGCTGATTCCTAAAAATACCCAAGAAAAATAGCAATTGAATGATGTGAAAGATACACTTAGACATGTCTCTGATACCCTCCAAGATCCTTGCAAATCACTGTCAACACCCTCTGTGCCAGGAAATCACCCTCTACTTCTTAAAAATTCCCCAGTACACTTTATAAACCATTTTGACCTGTTCTGCAGCAAGTGACTCATTTGCAGACAAGCGATACCATCATTATTCAGATCTAAATCATACAAAGCACCCATACAAACCTTAGAAAAAGGAAATCTGGACCAAGCATGGCCCTCAGGTCCTATTACCTGCAGCCTGCACCCTCATCTCTTCAGTGTCCCCAACTCCACTTCTCTTCAGTCCACTCTCAGCTCAGGAGCAAAAATTCTGTTTCGGATATTTTATGTGTGTCCTCTCGGGAAGAAAAAAAAATAGCATTACATCTACTCAAATCTCAAAATTTGAAAGGTTTTTCCAGCTACATTTTAAAACTATTTATATATTTATTCTTGTTTTTATTTGAAAGAGAACAAATAGAAAGTGCTTTGTTATCATTTATGGTCTAAAATAGATGTTCTAAATGACTGTTTTTTTCATTCTCCAGGATTCATACACTACCATGTGTCATTATTATGTCATCTATACAAGACAGGACTGCCATATTCAGCCTGGGGAGCTAACTGGGGTCTCAGCAACTTCCAGGCTTGGAGAAGGGAAGCCACACTATTCCCCTACCATCCCCCACTGCTACAGAGCTCCAGAGTCTGCAAAAAAGTTCACAGTGGGCCTCTGTAACACTCCTACCAGAATCAGTCAGCACAACTTGTAGGGCAAAGCAAAGATTCTCTACATCCTGCAATGGTGATAGTTTGTGGCATTACTCCAGAGTTACACTCACACACTGTATGAGCCAGAGCGATGCCCTTTCATTTCTGGGGGTTAGCACCAACATCAGCTCATTTAAAAAAAAATACCCCCCACCCTGGGAGATCTGTACCCTGCAACACCAGGACTGCAACAATTAGTTCTCAATCCCACTGAAGTCTACCCAGTGCAATTACTGAAGAAACTGCCTGCATTCCACCTGTCTGGACTCATACCCACCAGAATAAAATCTGTACACCTTGTAGTCACATGTAGGACTGGAACAGGATCCCAGCACTGCAGGCACAGAATTACCGAATTTACATGCTAAGCCACAGCGCCAGCCCCTTCACTTCCATTTTTTTTTTTTTGACAGGCAGAGTGGACAGTGTGAGAGAGAAACAGAGAAAGAAAGATGTTCCAGGCTGGTGCCACGGCTCAATAGGCTAATCCTCCGCCTTGCTGCGCCGGCACACCGGTTCTAGTCCTGGTCAGGGCGCTGGATTCTGTCCCGGTTGCCCCTCTTCCAGTCCAGCTCTCTGCTGTGCCAGGGAGTGCAGTGGAGGATGGCCCAAGTGCTTGGGCCCTGCACCCCATGGGAGACCAGGAGAAGTACCTGGCTCCTGCCATCGGATCAGCATGGTACACCAGCCTCAGAGCACCTTTTTCCATTGGTTCACCCTCCAATGGCCGCTGCGGCCAGCGCGCTGCGGCTGGCACACCACGCCGAATCGAAGCCAGGAGCCAGGTGCTTCTCCTGGTCTCCCATGCAGGTGAAGGGCCCAAGGACTTGGGCCATCCTCCTCTGCACTCCTGGGCAACAGCAGAGAGCTGGACTGGAAGAGGAGCAACCGGGACAGAATCTGGTGCCCTGACCGGGACTAGAACCTGGTGTGCCGGCACCACAGGTGGAGGATTAGCCTATTGAGCCACGGCGCCAGCCTCACTTCCATTTTTAACACCATTACTGGAGTATTTGGCAATAAAGACATTTGTATCCCACATTCAGAGTACCTGGGGTTCAACATACAGATCTGGCTCCTAACTCCAGCTTCCTTCTAATGCAGACTTTGAGAGCAGCAACGGCTTGGGTAGTTGGGTTCTTGCCACCCATATGGCAAAGCTGGATTGAGTTCTTGACTTCTGGTTTGACTGGCCCCATCTCAGCCATTGCAGGTATTTGGGAAATAATCCAGTACATAAGAGCTCTCTCTCAAATAATCATTTCAAATTTTAAAAATATGAAAATCATTACGATATGCCAAGCCATGTGCTAGGTACTGGGAATAAGATAGAGACCTCTCTTGGAGTTTCCATAGTAGAAGCTATGTCAGACAGTGCATAATAAAATAGATTATGAAAAGGGCTCTGAAGGAAGTCAGCTGGGTTCTGGTCACAGCAGTATGCTTTGCGGACATTAACATCTTACGTATCTTCTCTATGGGCCACACAGGGTAAAACCATGAAAAAGTGCCATTGTTACTTCTAGGCTAGCAGCTGTACTGAGCCAGGGTAGAATGGAGGAAGTTTTCCTATGCCAATGTAAACTGCTATTGATTTCTGTTCTAATCATCACACCCACACTGAATTGCCCATGTCTCTACAGAAATCTTCTAAGAACTGATTTCATTGTAGCCCCTACCTAACAGAACTGTCAAATATGAAAACAAGGATACTGAGACTTTAGAGGAAATGGCCTCGTTCCATAATAAATAAGCATAATAGGGCCAGTTAGGGCCCTGATGGGAGGAAAGACAGCTCTTGGATTTGAACTTGGAGGAGGAAACTTCAAGCTAGCAACCAGAACCAGATAACTCTGAAGACCCCCCCCCCAAAAAAAAACCAGCCCTGTTACTTCCTTGGGAAAGTCCGCCTCCCCAGCCCCACCCCACACTAGTGGGCTGCTGGGGTTCTGGAGCCACCTGGGTCTGTGACCCAGTGGCTGTAGAAAAAGGCTGCCCTGGCTCAAAGCAGAAGAGCCCTGGAGGCGGAGCCTAATAAAGAATGTGTAAATAAAGGTCAGGTGTCATAAAGGGTGGGGCGGGGTGCACAGTTGCTAAGGCATGCCCTCTAAGGGGCTGCCATAATTCATTAGCTCATGCTCAGGGCATGCTGTGTGTGCCCTAGCAGCCTGAGTTACTGTATCCTGAAAATTCATTAGCTCATGCTCAGGGCATACTGCGTGTGCCCCAGCAGCCTGAGTCACTGTATCTTGAAAACCCCGTCAATGACCCCTTTGTGCTTGTGGGTCCCATGGCTCCTCTTCAACTGGCAGCCTTTGTGGCTGCCAGTCCAGGCGACTCAGCCTCTGGAGTGGGCCCAGGACCTGGTCCAGCTGACCTCCAGCCTCCCTTGGCTCTCTGAGCCCTGGTCTTCCCACTCCCCGAACTTCCCACCTGAATCGCCTGACGCACTCACACCCCCGGCAGACCCCGGCGGCTTTGATTACCTGGGGTCTTCTGCTCTCTCCCAGATGCTGGCCTCGCCTCGAGAGTCCACATGTGAGTTTGCTTCCTTTTCTGGACATGGATTCAGCTCAAGGGGTGCCCCCAGAGCCAGAACAGCTTGCTTTTCCAAAGCAGTATTTCAATAGGCTGACTCGACAACAGAGGCTACCAGAGGCCATTCCCGTGCTAGACGGGGATCAGGTTCAGCCCCTGGCTCTGCCTCCTCGACTGGAAGGAAAGATTCACCAGTCATTGGAAGCATTCGTTCTGCCGCTAGACAGTCAGGATTCACAAGGAAACAAGTTGATTGTTTCACCCCTGACCCCCAAGAAAGATCTAGCTCGGCGTCGACGGCTTCCTAAGGTTGGTGTTGGAACTCCAGACAAAGCGGCCAAGCTTCAGGGTCAAAATCAAGTGTTGCCGGCTGACTATGGGGTCTATCCTGGTGGTTTTCCTACGGAATCCCAGGAGAACCCAGGAGAACCTGCACAGCCCTCTGAGCAGGCTGAACCATCTCAATTCCTGCTGGAGGGCCAGACTCAAAATCCAGAGACTCAGGAGCCCATCCAATCCTCCTCCGCACAGCAAGAAGGACAAGCTCCGCCTCCACAGGCCGTTGAACCAGATGAACCTTCTTCACCCCAGCAAGAGGGCCCAGGTGCAGACCTGCAGCAGCCCGAGGAAGAAGCATCTCCGTTGCAGCAGGAGGCCCCCACTCAGAATCCATTTGCTACTGCAGAAGTAGTAGGTCAGGCATCAGTGTATCACAGTCTTAACACTCCATCCTCACCTCAGATTGTAGCTCTCCAAGCAAACTTCCCCAGCGTCACACTGAAACCTGCAGACACGGAGCTGACAGAAGCCTCAGGGGCAGGTGAGGAAGTTCAGTCTACTCCAAGCACGGAGCAGGCTCCAGCTCAGCCTCTGGGGCATCCTGAGGGAGTGGGACTCCCCTCAGCCCAACAAGAGGCCCCAGTGCAGACTCAGGAATTCCCTGGGAGGGTGGAATCTTGGACTCAAGAGGGTCTAGCTCAGACCTCAGATCTCCCTGAGGAGACTGGACCTTTCTCTACCCAAAACGATGCCACAGCTCAGCCCTCAGAGTATGCTGAGGAAGTCAGCCCATCTGTAGGCCAGCAGGGGGCCCCAGCTCAGCCTTCCGGCCTGCCTGTGAACACTGAATATTCCTCCAGCAATCAGGAGCAGCCTGCTCAGCCTTCTGAGTCTCCAGAGATCGAACCTTCTAGAAGCCAACTGGAAGACCCGGAGAAGCCTTCGGCACTCCCTGTGGAAGTCAAATCTCCAGTACAGCAAGATCCCCGAGCTCAAGCGCTAGAATCTCCTGAAGAGAATATCATAGCTCAGACTCCACAGATTCAGAAGGGGACGGACTGGTCTCCAGATCAGAATCAAGTTCACCGTTATAACCTGCCCAATGTTACCATCAAGCCTGCAGATGTGGCGCTGACCATAACTCCGGAGCCCACCATGGAGCGGGACTCTTCTCCAGTGCAGCAGGAGGGCTCTGCTCAGACTCCGGGCCCTTCTGTGGAGACAGAACCCTATATTAGTGATCAGGAGCAGCCCACTCAGTATGTTGAGTCTTCTGTAGAGAACAAACCCTCTCCAGCCCAGCAGGAGACCCCATATCAAACTCTGGGCCCTTCCCTGGAGACAGAAGCTTCTCCAGCCCAGCAGGAACCCCCAGAGCCGACTCCGGTCCCTTCTGCAGAGACGGAACCTTCCCCATTCCAGCAGGCACCCAGAGCTCACACTGCACGCCCTTCCGTGGAGGCAGAACCTTCTCCCCGTGAACAGGAGCAGATAGCTCAGTATGCGGAGGCTCTGGTGGAGACCCAGCCTCCTCCAGGCCCTCCCGTGGAGACAGAGCCTTCTCTCAGAGAACAGCAGCAGATTGCTCAGTACGCGGAGGCCCTGGTGGAGACTCAAGCTCCTCCAGGCCAGCTGGAGGCCCTAGCTCTGACTCCAGTCCCTCCTATGGAGACCGAACCTTATATCAGTGAGCAGGAGCAACCAAGGCGGCCCTCTGAGTCTTCTGAGGAGGTTGAATCTTCTGGAAAGAAGACAGAAGTCCCAGCCCAGCCTCCAAGTCATCACACAGTGACCATTTTACCTCCCGGTCACCATCAAGTTCAGCAGTACGACTTGCCCAATGTGACTACTAAACCTCCAGACCTGCAGCTGACCCTAACACCAAAACCTGAAGCAGAAGTGGAAACATTTCCAGTCAGCCATGAGGTCACAACAACGCAGGCCTCAGTCGCAGCTCTGCCTCCAACACCTCTTGAAGAGGTCGAACCACTGCCAATTCAATCTCCAGAAGTTATGCAGGATGAGAAACCCTCTACGACCCAGCAGGAGGAAACAGCTGAAATTTTACAGACCCCCGTGGAGGCTGGACCTTCTCCAATCCATCAGGAAGCCCAAGCCCACGCCTCAGTGTTCCCTACGGAGCCTGAGCCTTTGAAAGACCAGGAGGCAGACACAGCTCAGCAGCCAAAGCCCCCGGAAGAGGATGAGCACTCCCCACTTCCAGGGGTCCCAGCTCAGCCTGAAGAACTGAAGGAACCTTCACCAAGCCAGCAGGGGATTTCCGTTCCACCTCTAGAGCGCCCCGTGAGTGCTTACCAATTACCACTCCAACAGGGAAACACAAACCAGCCTTCAGATATCTTCCCAGAGATGAGTGATGCTATTCCAATGAATATGACATTTTCACCTCATATTCCAGAAGAAATACTCAGAACTCAGCATTTAAGGTTGTCTAAAACCAAACCAAAACATGTGGATATTGACCTTACCAGAACCCTAAAGCCCACTCCAGAGGTTTATCCTTACCCCAGTCAACAGGAAGGACCTGCCCAGCCTACAGTTCCCACCAAGCAAGTTGAATTTTCTCCAACCCAGCTTGGGCCTCCTCTTGCCAAGCCTCCGGCACTGCCTGAAAAGATGGAACTTTCTCGAGCTGAGCCTCTAGAGCCCCTCAAGGAGGCAGAACAAGCTCCAGTGCAAAATGTAGCCCCAGCCAAGCCACAAGACTTCCCTAACACTCAATCGTCTGCAACCCAGCAGGAGCTTCAAACTCAGCAACCAAACCTGACCAAAGTCACAGGTCAACCTTTGGATGTGGAACTCACCATAACTACACAACCTGGAATGGAAGGCGGACTTTCTCCAATCATGCAGGAGGCCCCAGTTCAGCTTCCAGGGCCATCTAAGGGGGGTATAGCTCAACCCCCAGGATATCAGGGGATGACAGTTCCAACACCAGCTCAGGATCAAGCTCCGTTTCCAAAATCACCCCGCATCACATTTCAACCTTTTGATCTGGCACTTACAATAACTCCACAGCCCATTACAGAGGCTGAACTTGCCACAAATGTGCAGGAGACTCCACCTAAAGAATCTGTAGCTCAGCCACCAGTGCATCATGAGGGTCAAAATCAACCTCCACTATCACCCAGTGTCACAAATCAACCTTTAGACCTGGCACTTACCATTACTACAGAACCTACTACAGAGGCTGAGCATCCTACAGACCTGAGCAAGACTACAGCTCCATCTCCAAACCTGACTCCAGTCACAACTCAACATCTGGACCTGGGACTCACCATAACTCCAGAAACCAGCAGTATGGTGACTGAACCCTCTACAGACATGCAGGAGACCTCCAGTCAACCTCCCACGGAGGGTGTAACCCAATCTCCAATACATCAAGAGGTGACAGTTCCAACACTGGGTCATAATCAAGCTCAATATCCAACATTGCCTCACATCACAGTTCAGCCTTTGGACACAGTGCTTACCATAAATGCAAAGCGTACCAGGAAGGCTGAACATTCTACAGCCCTGAAGAAGACTAAAGTACCTCCCGTGCTCCATGAGGAGGTACTTTCACAACCAGACCAGGTTCAGGCTCAGCATCCAACCCTGACAGAAGTCACAGTTCAACCTTTTGATGTAGAACTTACCCTAACTCCAGAATCCGTTGTGGAGGGTGAACCACTCCCAACCATGCAGGAGACTTCAGGGCAGCCTCCAGGGCCACATAATGAAGTGGTCTATCAGCCTCCAGTTTATTATGAGATGGTAGTTCCAAAACCAAGTCAAGATCAAACTCCGCATCCAATGTCACCCAGTGGCACAGCTGAACCTTCGAAGTTAGAGTCAACCATAACTCAGGTACCCACTACACAGGATGAACATTCTACAGCCTTCAAGTCTATATCTCCTCCTCCTTATCCAATGTACCCTGAGGTGACATTTTCACCTCCAGTCCAGATTCAGACTCAGTATACAAACCTGCCTCAAGTCACAGTCAAGCCTCTGGACCTGGAAATTACCCAAACTCCACAACGTACTACAGAGGCTACACCTTCTACTACCATGCAAATGACCCTAACTCAGTCTACAGAGCCACTAAAGGAGCTCGTAACTCAGTCCCCAGGGGACAATGAGATGACAGTTCCAACAGCAGGTCAGCATCAAGCTCAGCACCCAACATCACCCAGTGTCATAGCTCAGCCTTCCAAGATGGAGCTAACCATAACTCTGGTACCCACTGCAAAAGCTGGCCATTCTCCATCCCTGAAGAAGACTACAGATCTACATCCAGGCCAGGTTCAGACTCAGCACTCAACCCTAACTGAAGTCACAGATCAACCCCTGAATGCGGCTGCCACCATAAATGTCTGTGAGCTCTGCACTTGCAAAGATGAGACACTTTCATGCACTGGCCTCAGCCCAGTGCAGAAGCTTCACAGAGTTCCTGTACCAGAGCCCAACAGCTACAATGGCACCTTCAGCATATTGTAAGAATCTCCCTTCCTCATGGTTCCCTACAGCCTGCCTGTCTCAGCAGCTTTTCCCCAAGATCTTCTGAGCCCTCCTCAAGTCCCCACCTTATGTTGACTCTGTGTGTGTGTGTTTTTTTTTCTGGACAGGAAGAATTAGACAGTGAGAGAGAGAGAGACAGAGAGAAAGGTCTTCCTTTTTCCATTGGTTCACCCCCAAGTGGCCACTTTGCTTGTGAGCTTTCTTATCCTCCTTCTCTTCTTGGACTTGTGTCCCTTCTACAGTCTCATGTGATTGCCCTTACTCCTTTTCCTGATTCTTTATTCATTGACATTCACCATACTATTACCTCATTGCTTTACTCCCATTCTTAAACACAGCCCTCATCCCGACTTATTAGAGATGATACAACAGGTTTAAGGATAGATTCTGGAGCCAGGTTGCCTGGCTTTGAACACAGGTCTCCCAGGGATTAGCTTTGTGACTTTGGACAAGTTATTTAGCTTGGATTCAATATCCTCATCTGTAAAGCTGGCTTAAAGAATGGTGCGATGGATTGTAACAGAAAATAAAAATGCGTGACTCCACAGTCTTTCCCTGGATGACAGCGAGAATGGTGGTGGTCTATAAGGCAGAAGCACAGCAGTCAGAAAGAAGAGCCCGTTAGTGGGAGATGTGTTCAGTGTTAGGCACTTTTTATTGATGAGCATAAAGTAACCCGAGAGGACATATCCACCAGGAAGGTGAGCATACAGGTATCTGTTTTATTGCTGCTCCTGCTTCCAGGAAAATGTGTACCTAAAACAAATAGGTTCATTGTTGCTGAGGAGTGAGGACAGAGTTAAAGCTAAGCACTCACAGCAATTCAAAGTTGAAGCTAAATATAAGTCATTTAACAGCTTCTTGTAAACAAGTATCGATTATGAGCACCTTCCCCCTTTTTAAAAAGTGCATAGAATGTAGGATAAAATGTGAAAGTATGAACCCCCACACACCCTCATCATCCCCTGGTCCTCACTCTATCACCTGTAACTCAGGCTGTGTGTCTTTCCTTCCAACCTCCTCTCACTTTTTTTCCTATGGAGGTAATGCTTGGCTCCTGGCTCAGTGATCGGCACTTTTACCCTATGCTGTATTCCAAAAGGCTTTCCACATCAGCACCTTAGTCCCTCTGATTTTAAATTGTCTGTATCCATTCAGTACTTGGAAAGATTTCAGCAGAGGGCGCTTGGCCAAAGCACTGGTATTACCTGCATAGGTTTTCATTATTCTTATTGGTGACAATACATTTTGCCCATTTTTTTCTTGAATAATTTATCCTTTTCTCACTGATTTGTAGAAGTCAGTGTAGACACCTGAGTTATTTTGGTGAAAATACTTAATTTTCAAAGTGATTGACTGTCTTTACTGTCAAAGAGACTGGACAGAGACGAAGTTAAGCTTCTGAGAGGATGCTTCATTGTTTATGTCAGTGGCCCCTCATTATTTATTGAGTGAGCAAACTGGGAAGCAGAGAGCTATGGAACATAAAAGCACTGGTATTTATTAGAAAGCTGATAATATTTCTGTATTTCAATACTCCCCCATGAGGGTGCCATGATTTTTTTCCTCGTTCTGTTCATTCTTTTCCAACCCATTCAAGGATGTGAACTGTGTTCCTTTACAGAAATTTCCAAGGAAACTCGATTTCTTTCATTGATGAAAATGTATGGAAAGCATACCGCTGGGCTGAGACACTGTGAGTACACACTCCCAAACAATGAATACACAAAACTAACTGCATTGTAAGAGCTTTCTTGTTCTACTATTTTGAGGTCAGTATGTCAGAAAAAGTATTCCCCTCTCCATGTCACAATCAACATCTGTTGATTATAATTCTATGGTTGTTTTAACAAGGCACAGAATTTGAAATAAGAAACTACTTCTATTTATTTGCATTTTATCAGTAATACCATTACATTCTTAGTAGATAAAAAGTGATAGGGATAGTGAAGACCTTCATTATGTCCTAACTCCCTACCTATGAGGTAATAATTACTGCTCTGAGTTTGGCATATATCCTTCCAAAAAATTACCTACAAACATATTTACATAGAGCATAATAGCTGTGTTGTGTGGTTTCTTTCTTTTTTTAACCTAAATAGTAACATCCTGCAACTTGGTTCTTTCACTTCATGGTTTCTCCTGGATTTCTTTCCTCTCCTAGTACTCAGTCAGTTACCCTATTCATTTAACTCCTGCATGATATTCTATAGTATGGATGGCCATTTCACAGTTTACTTAATAATCCCTCTATTGATGGATTTTCGATTATGTCCACTTATGTATTGCGGCAAGGAAAATCCTTGTGCACACTTGTGAACATGGACAAGCATTTTGCAAAATAGAAGTCTAGAAAGAAAATGGGGCAGCTAGCACTGTGACATAGCGGAAAAGCCTCCGCCGGCCATGCCAGCATCCCATATGGGCGCTGGTTTGAGTCCTGGCTGCTCCACTTCTGATCCAGATCTCTGATATGGCCTGGGAAAGCAGTGGAAGATGGCCCAAGTGCTTGGGCCCCTGCACCCATGTGGGAGACCTTGAAGAAGCTCCTGGCTCCTGGCTTCGGATCAGCACAGCTCCGGCCATTGTGGCCAACTGGGGAGTGAGCCAGTGGATTGAAGACCCCTCTCTCTCTCTCTGTCTCTCTCTGTCTCTCTCTCTCTCTGCCTCTCCTTCTCTCTGTGTGTAACTTGACTTTCATATAAATAAATAAATCTCAAAAAAAAAGAATGAAAATGGATGAAGACTACGGAAATAGGAAATTTTAATTGCCTTCAGAAAAGCTGTGCACACATACTTACACTCCAGCTAACAGAATGTAAGAACATTCATTTCCCTTCATCCTTTTTAAAAAGATGTATTTGTTTACTTGAACTATGGGAGTGGGGGGAGGGGGAGATAGAGCGAGAGCAAATGAGAGAGTGAGAGAAAGACAGAATCTTCCATCCACTGCTTTATTCCCCAAATGCCCAAAACAGCCATGGCTGGGCCAGGCCAAAGCTAAGATCTAATACTTGATTCTGGGTCTCCCACAGGGATGACAAGGAATCAAGCACTTGGGCCATCATCTGCTGCCTCCTAGGTGCACTAGCAGGCATCTGGCTCAGAAGCAGAGGGCCCAAGACTTTAACCAGGCTCTCCAATATGGAATTTACGCTTCTCAAGTGACGGCTTAGCCTGCTATGCCCCAACACTGACTCTTCCCTTCACCTTTTCACCTCGGGATGCTCTTTGTCTTTTTGCTAATGTGACTGGCAAATAAAAGGGTTCCCAGCTGAATCTGGATTTCTCTGATTACTCATAAATTTAAATGTCTTTATATACTTATTGAACATCTATGTTTCGTTGAGGTTTTGTCCACTGTCCATTTGTTGAATTATCTTTTCCTTACTGATTTTTGAAAGGAATCAGTTTAGACTCCCAATTTTGGGGGAAAATACTTAACATTCAAAGTAATTAACTAAAAATAAAAATCTATCATGTCACCTAGGCCAGTGAACTAGAAATTTTGAAGTGCTGAGTGTAACATAATAAAAAAAAGGAATTAATTGACATTTTTCATGACAGTTTGCGTGTTATATCACTGGGACAACTTGTACAGACATCATAAATTATTTCTGAATACAAACAAGACATATAACAGACAAAGGAGAAGGGTTATGATCACTTTAAGATAAATTTTCCCAGGGCCTGTGCAGTGCTGCAATAGTGCAGTGGACTAAGCTGCTACTTGCGGCGCCGGTATCCTGTACGGGCACCAGTTCTAGTCCCAGCTGCTCCACTTTAAATCCAACTCTCTGCTATGGCCTGAGAATGCAGTAGAGGATGGCCCAAGCACTTAGGTCTGTGCACCCATGTAGGAGACCCCAAAGAGGCTCATGGATCCTGGCTCCTGGCTTCCAATTGGCCCAGCTACAGCCATTGCAGCCATTTGGGGAGTGAACCAGTGGAGAGAAGACCTTTCTGTCTCTCCTTCTCTCCATCTGTAATTATAACTCTGAAACAAATAAATAAAATCTTTTTTAAAAAAGATAAAAGTTTCCCCTTAGCCTACTATCTCATTTCTGATGGGAAAATGCTAGAATCAGGCAGTTGTGACTTTTAATTTATGATGTTTCTTAAATACAATACACACAGTTTGTATTTATTTTGGTTATGCTTCGTTTAAAGATGTCCCAAACTTGTAAGAAAAATCAAAGTCAGGGCTGGCACTGTGGCATAGCAGGTAAAGCCACCACCCACAGTGCCAGCATCCCATATGGGTGCCGGTTCGAGTCTCAGCTGCTCCACTTCCGATCCAGCTCTTTGCTATGGCCTGGGAAAGCAGTGGAAGATGGCCCAAGTCCTTGGGCCCATGCACCCACATGGGAAGACCTGGAGGAAGCTCCTGGCTCCTCATTAGCACAGCTCCAGCCATTGTGGCCAATTGGGGAGGGAACCAGCAGATGGAAGACCTTCCTCTCCCCTCTCCCCTCTCCCCTCTCCTTCTCTCTGTGTGTAACTCTGACTTTCAAATAAATAAATAAATCTTTGGAAAAAGGAAAAATCAGAGTCATCTGACACAAAAGTAAATAACACTAGTTTCCTCTGAAGAGTGAAGATGGGAGTTGGAAAGGCTAAGGGATAAAGGGAAGGGGAAGAAAATTTAATTTTTCTTATTTGAGAGGCAAAGGCAGCATGCTATCATACACTGTTCACTCCCCAGATGCCTGTAGTGGTGAGACTGGGTCAGTCAAACTCAGGAACCTCAAACTCAGTCTTGTTCTCCTACATAGATGGCAGGGATTTAAATACTCAGCCATCATTACTGCCTCCCTGGTCAACCTTAACTTGTAGCCCCGGCATACCTCAAACATGGGGCTTCGGTAGTAGGGCTTGGGGAAAAAACAGAAGGAAATGGCAGTTCTGCCAATCTTGGTGCCTCCCAGTGTTAGGTTCTAACAGGGACATTGTGACCTACAGAGCAGACATTACATTTATGATTTGGTGGGAAGGACGGATAGGTGTATAGAGATGGACAAAAAAGGGAGAGTGGGAAAAATGGTTTAAATTAAAATACAACAGACATTGCCACCCTAGAAGTAAATTAGAATCTGGGTATTTAAACAGCACCATTACCAAAGTTTCCTCTACATACAGACTTAGTCCTATGAAGCAAACAGCTGCAGTTAGTTGTCATTTTGATTCAGAAGTACCTCTTTCATTTTCCAGAATCCTCAGTGAAAATGACTTGACTGAATTACATAAGGACTCATTTGAAGGCCTGCTATCCCTCCAACACTTGTAAGTCAGTTAATCATACTTATTTATGAGATTTTAGTTACATTATCTAGGAAACAAATATGGGTCCCAGCTGGATAATCTCTAAGGTTTCTTCTGGAAGTCTACACTGTAGGGTCTCATATCTCTAACATGGAATACCTATTATGTGCTTTGTGGTTTTTTTTTTTTTGACAGGCAGAATGGACAGTGAGAGAGAGAGAGAGAGAGAGAAAGAGAGAAAGGTCTTCCTTTGCCATTGTTTCACCCTCCAATGGCCGCCGCGGCCAGCGTGCTGCAGCCGGCGCACTGCACTGATCCGATGGCAGGAGCCAGGTGCTTCTCCTGGTTTCCCATGGGGTGCAGGGCTCAAGTACCTGGGCCATCCTCCACTGCACTCCCTGGCCACAGCAGAGAGCTGGCCTGGAAGAGGGGCAACCAGGACAGAATCCGGCACCCAGGCCGGGACTAGAACCCGGTGTGCCGGCGCCGCAAGGCGGAGGATTAGCCTAGTGAGCCACGGATTATATTTGTATTTAATTTACAAGCAATGGATGAAATTGGATCCAAGGTCTGTCTTCATACAGGTCCTAAGTTAAGAATGAGTTTTATATTTATAAAGGACTGTATAGAGAAACAAAGAAACAAGAAAATGCAACAGAGACAATATGTGGCCCACCAAGTCTCAAACATTTATCATCTGGCCTTTACAAACAAGGTTTGAACAAGTTGGTTTAATACAACAAAGGGAAGAAAACATAAACCAACAACATTAATTTGAATGCTGTCAACTGAAAGTTGTTAGATGATCTAATCTTGAATAAGTTAACCTTTTAATGATTTCTTTTTTTTATCTTTTATTTAATGAATATAAATTTCCAAAGTACGACTCATGGGTTACAATGGCTTCCCCCCCCATACCGTCCCTCCCACCCACAACCCTCCCCTTTCCCACTCCCTCTCCCCTTCCATTCACATCAAGATTCATTTTCGATTATCTTAATATACAGAAGATCAGCTTAGTATACCTTAAGTAAGGATTTCAACAGTTTGCTCCCACACAGAAACATAAAGTGAAAAATAATAGATGATTTTTTTAAATGATGATGAAATCAGATCAGACCTATTGTCATGTTTAATCCCAGTGAGAGTCAAGTTGGGAATTGATAATTTCTTTCTTTTTTTTTTTTTTTTTACAGAAGATCAGTTTAGTGTACATTAAGTAAAGATTTCAACAGTTTGCACCCCCATAGAAACACAAAGTGAAATATACTGTTTGAGTACTCGTTATAGCATTAAGCCTCAGTGTACAGCACATTAAGGACAGAGATCCTACATGAGGAGTAAGTGCACAGTGACTCCTGTTGTTGACTTTACAAATTGACACTCCTGTTTATGGCATCAGTAATCTCCCTATGCACCAGTCATGAGTTTCCAAGGCTATGGAAGCCCCTTGAGTTCTCCGACTCTTATCTTGTTTAGACACGGTCATAGTCAAAGTGGAGGTTCTCTCCTCCCTTCAGAGAAAGGCACCTCCCTCTTTGAAGACCTGTTCTTTCCACTGGGATCTCACTCACAGAGATCTTTTTGCCAGAGTGTCTTGGCTTTCCATGCCTGAAATACTCTCATGGGCTTTTCAGCCAGATCCGAGTGCCTTTAGGGCTGATTCTGAGGCCAGAGTGCTATTTAGGACATCCGCCATTCTATGAGTCTGCTGAGTATCTCACTTCCCATGTTGGATCACTCTCCCCTTTATTTATTCTATCGGTTAGTGTTAGCAGATACTAGACTTGTTTATGTGCTCCCTTTGACTCTTAGTCCTTTCATTATGATCAATTGTGAACTGAAATTGATCACTTGGAATAGTGAGATGGCATTGGCACATGCCACCTTGATGGGATTGAATTGGAATCCCCTGGTATGTTTCCAACTCTACCAATTGGGGCAAGTCAGCCCGAGCATGCCCCAAATTATACATCTCTTCCCTCTCTTATTTCAATTAAGGAACTATTATACCCATGTTGGAAATAGATAATTAAAACAATGGCTACATAATATTGGGAAGTGCACATCATTAATCCTTATTAGGCTAATTACTGGGCCTCTTCAGCAAATAGATTCTTGTCTCAAAAGTACAAGGCTTAAGGAACATAGCAGCATGTGATACTCACAACACTCCTTTGAATGATGATCAGAACTTCTAGGCCATAGGGGACAACCACATCTGCATGGTTCCTCTTGAGCACCTTTCCCATCTGGGCTCCGGAACCTTGCAAACATGGTTTGGAGAAAAACAAATGAGACTACTGCTGGTAGAATAGGCCCTTCATTGTTTCTGCTGGAAAATCCTTTGTAGCCTAATTAGTTTATGCTAGTGTATGTATTCACTTCATTTTCAAAATGCCAATCAATTGTCTAAAGCTGAAAGAGAAAGCCAAACACTTTGCCTAGTACTGGAGACACATAAATGAGTAAGACAGGATCCCACCTTCCCAAGAGCTCACAATCTTGCAGGGGAAACAAATACACAAGCTCAAACCAATACCCAACAAGTACTATGTAGCTGACAGAGTGCTGCAGAGGGACCAGGGAATAATAAACCACACTGCTTTTTAAAAATTCACTTTTCCTTCTTCTACCTACTCAACCATTCCTTCATTTAATAAACACCTGAGTCTATTTCCATGAGTCAGTTTTAAACATAGTGGGCAATGTAGATGAGCAAGGCCAAATCCATGCTTTCAAGAAGTTTATGCTCTGGGGAAATGGAAGGCACAAGTAACGATATCAAAAGAAATGGATATAGAGTCCAGACAAGGGAGAAGACTTTGGGCTGGGTCAGGGATGATGGAACCAGGGAGCAATGCCAGTTGAACAGGACTTCCAAGGGGGCAGTGGGCATCATCAGACGTCTTGGAGAGAATATCGTGGGAGAAAGGGAAAACATGGAAGCTTCTGAGGCACAGAGATGCAGGGAAAGCTGGAGGGTGAAGCCAGGTCTTCCAGGCCTTTGAATGCTGAGCAAGAGTCACCACGGGGAACCATGCTGTCACAGCAGTGCTCTAAAACAGACTTGAGCTTGCACCACAGTTACCTGGGGCTCTGAACCCTACCCCCACAGTAACTGCCTGAGTCGGTCTAGAACAGGGCTGAGAATCTGCCTCTTCTGTAAGCACCTAGTGATGTTGGCCTCAGAGAGTCACTTAGGGCAAGTCCCACTGGTGACTGTGGGTGGGACAGGGGAGAGAAGATTCTAGAGATGGAGCCACCAACAGATGAGTTGCAGGTGAAAAGTGAGGGTCAAATTGTAATCAGTGGAAGTAAGAGTCCTCTACCACCAAGAGTGTTTTCGAGTGGGAATCCAGTGTCGTGCTGTTTTCTGACGGTTCTATCATGGCTTTAATGGACTATCAAGCAACAAGCAACAAATAAATTTCCTTTAGTATGACAGAAAGTGTAATTTTGAATCAGTTCAAAATAATGAATTAATTAGAGACCCAATTTCATTTCAAATGATTCAAAAGGGCATCTTTTTTTCTGGTATTGAATGAAGTTAGAAAACTAGGACTAAACCAGGAAAGATGTGAAAATGTGAGTATTCTTTGGAATATTAGACATTAAAAATGGAGATGACAGCTTTGCTCCTTGTTTCAAATGGATGAAGACTATGAAAGTTCATCTAATCAATTCTGCACTCAGGAAAGTTTACCACCACAATCTATCAAGATTTATAGTTGTGTATGTCATTGATGAAGATTCTAACAGTGAGACTATTAGGAGAGGTTGTAAGAAGGGTTAGTATCTCCAGAGGGTCAAATACAAGTCCAAAGCTTTACAGTTTAGGTAAAAACTGCATATCCAACATTATCAAATGCAAATTTTATTATCCCCACTGACTATATAGGTAATAGCTAACCAAGGCAATGTTTTCCTTTTCTAGAGATTTATCCTGCAATAAAATAGAGTTTATCGAAAGACGTGCATTTGAGTCACTCCCTTTTTTGCAGTCTATGTAAGTTACAATTTCATCACATTTGGAATTTTAATAAATCTTCACTGTTCACCTTGAAATAGGGTTAAGATTCTACTTTACATTTGTAGTAGAAGGTTGCTAAAATTCTGTAACAGGTCCTTTTCCTCTCTAGCAAAAATACTATCAGGTACAAAGGTCAGAGTGAATCCCACAGAGGCAGGGCTTCTCAGCCAACATGATTTTGCATTCAGGTAACAGCTTGCAGCCCTGCACGTGCTGCTGACACTGCGTGAGCTAAGCCCAGCCTGCTGTTAAGCCACTTACTATGTACAGGACAAACCTCCACAAGAAAAGCATTATCGAGTCCAAAATGTCAATAGCATTCAAGTTGTGAAACTCTGTTCCAGAGAATAAAGATCACACAGTACAAGTATGTCATGTAATATGAAAATAATATGATGAAATTTAATGTAAATGTGCAAGTATAATTCAGAAACCAAATCTTCCAGTACCAGTAAATTCTTTAGTGTGTAGATAAAATGTGGAAGTATTGTTTCATCTATAAAAATTAGAATCACTCCTGAAAGAAGAGTATTCTGAAAATATTTCTTTTTTCTTCTTCATTCTCTTTCACTCGTGTCTTTTTTTGTAGAAATCTTGGTTGCAATTTACTGACAGAACTGAGCTTTGGAACATTTCAGGCGTGGCATGGAATGCAGTTTTTGCACAATGTGTAAGTGCAATAGATGATGAATACATATTTAAAAACAATTTGTGTATAAAAATTGTATATAGTTATGCTTATCTGGGTATTAAGCCCTGTATATAAACTCTGCAAAGAAGGTCTTCATTTCCATTTTTTTTCCAAAAATCTAACACAAAGTACTCTGGGAGAAAAAGGTTCTGGTGCTTTCTCAGGGTTACCTGCTTTTAAATCCTAATGCAAAAATAATTCCTGGGACCCAGCCAAAGGGCACATCTCTCCCCATCACCCACCCAGATCATAAGCTTTTTCCAAAATGTATTTAGCTCTCAATTTATAAATTATCTGTGGATACTAATAACTTTTGAAATAGGAAGAAGTGGCATATATGTTAAACTGTAGTGTTAAAAAAATAAGAAAATACACTGCTCTAGCCTAATCCCACATATTTTGTCCTGACTAAACTGCAACAGAAAGTGAGTTTTATTCACTTTCAACTCAACAATTCTGTGACGTTCAATGGCCCAAGGGAATTTTAGATTCAAGATACAGATTCTCCACTAAACCTGATGTTGAAAGACTATCCACCTGTTCTGTAGTTCAGAATCCCAGTCATAACCATTCTGGTTATGAGGGAAGGTTTTAGGATGTGTGGAGGATGG